ACAATATAATATTCAAATAAGGTGAAGTCTCTCTGGGAAATAGGTACTATGGCCCACCTATCTACTGGAGAAGTTGGTGGAGCGGGGTAAACCTAGCAGTAATGTACCTGGATGTCAGTGGACTCTCTACTAAGAAGGGGAATGACAAGGGGGATGGATGGATGCAGATGACCTGTACCTCTCTAATGAGGGCTGTATCCCTTCTATCAGGCAAGCTTAACCAATCTGGTGGAGGTTATGGTAGTAACAACGGGTGATTCAGAAACCTATAAAGTAGGGCTCTGAGATCCACTAAGGACCCCCATCTATTAGTTCTAGAACATTTTCCAACACAGTTCATGAGCTGTCCCTAAAAATAGCTGTTAGAAACATCAACATAAACCACATTTCAGCCCATCCTCAGTCCTGGAGGTCAGCCCACAGTAATAAATGTGGACCCATGGGGTAAAGCATATCCATTCAGCACTCACGTCAGTCTGGAAACATTATATGGTCAGTGCTTCCACCCACTCCCTGATCTTTCCACTAGTGCTGGATACTGGTTTATTCGGATTACAGGGTGTCAGGCACAGGCCTTTAGCATGGACGAAGGTTAAAGATCAACCTTTGTGCACAAAGTTGAGCTTGGTACCCTTTCTTGCTAGTGTCTTCCTGCACAGCAGTGGGAATCCATCCTTTCTCTGCAAGGCCCCTGTTCTCTTTTGGAAGGCTGAGATAAGACCATTTCCTCATTCAAATTTAATTAAGATTTCTCCCCACCCAAACATTTTAAATCTTACACACCTGATTCCTACAAAGAACCACGTTGGAGTCTCCCAGAACACCTTGATGTAAAGAACCTGACCTAGAAACTGCCATGCAGCCACCAAGGTTTTAACTCTGAAAGTAAGGGAAGAATGCTGAATCATCCTGCTCCTAGGAGCCAAACTGTAACACATCCTCATTTCCAGGTCAACTCATCTCTTCTGTCTTGGTTTCTGTTCCTGAGTTTGGGGCTATACTTGTTTCTTGAGACAGTTAATTGTAAAGACCTGTGGGTGGTCAAAACACTTGATTTGCACCAGTGACTCTGACCTCAAATAAACAAACATCCTCATCATGAAAACAGTTATGCATCCAATCATGAAATCCCAGACACAGCAGCTAAATACAGCACAAGTCTCACATACCTGCATTAGCCTCTTACATAGCTGTATTAGCTTTTAAAGGCACTTCATTCAGTCATCCAACAAATGTCAACTGAAGGTCTACTATGTACCTGTTCTGGAGCATGCATTTGAGCAATATCCAGTCATTTAGGGGGTGAGAGGAGATGAACTTTGTAAATAGGTAGATTACAATAAAACACAATGAATGTTATCTTATTTGGCAGCAGATGGGAGAGATGCTTGGGGGCCAGGTAAGGAGTCAAGACAGACTTTAAAGAAAGACTTGAGCTGCATATAAAGGGTGAATAAAAATAATAAAAAATAAACAAACAAACAAAAACAAAGGGTGAATAAGAGCTCCCCATGGGACAGGGAGCTGGACCAGATGAGCATCTCAGGCAGAAGCAGTTTCAGTGCAAGGGGCAAGCTGAAGTCAGTGCAGGCTGACGCATGGGATGGAGTGGAAGCAAGGAAACAGAAAGTGCTGAGCCCAGAATTACTCAGTGTTGGTCCCCAACTGCCAGCCAGCACCATATGCCCAGACATTCTGACTGGGCACATAATTATCAGATTAATATGTAAAAAGAAACTTGGCCTATGGCATATGATAAAAACTCCATGTGTTTTGAGTATTCCTACGTGCATTTTGGTGCCATATTCACCACCACTGTATCCTCAGGATTGAGAATCATTAATAAAAATGTGTTGAACGAATGAAGAACTTGTGGTTTCTAAGAAGGACATGGCGATGCACAGATTCTCATAATGCTACATCCAGCAGGAAGGTGAAGGGATAGTGTTTTCTACAGGATTGCTTCAGTCACGTGAAGGTCATTCACTCTTCCCAGTAGTCTCCCCACCCGAATCTATGCTCAGTAGAGCAGACCACTGGGTTAAAAAGAATAACCATAAAACCTCGTATTTGCCGCATTTCTTCAGTTTACTTGTATTATTCTGTTTAAAATAACTGCAGTGTTTAAATGCAAAACTTTGATCCTCTTGTCTGAATTCTACTTCAGATATAACCTGAAATTCTTATCTCTGGATTTAGATTCCCACTAGCCTCCATGGAGGCAAGATGGGCAATGAATTTAAGGAACTGGTGGAGTCAGTGCCCATTCTTGTCTCAAAATGACCCCTTTATCTACTCCCACATGAATCTAAAGAAAGAATGGAAAGAAGCAAAGATATGAAGCCTGAGTAAAGGTGACACTTTAACTTCCTAAACTATCACATTACTCTGAAACATCACTGTCTAGCCTCAATTTAATGTAATTCTGTTCAGTTTCATATCTACTGAGAAAAGTATTGAGCTGGCCAAAAAGTTCATTCGAGTTCTTCCATAACATCTTACAGAAAACTCCGAACTTTTGGGCAATACTATAGGTTGCAGATATCCAAGGATACACTTATTCCATTATCACTGGCTGGGAATTAGATCTGGTTGTTAATCATCCATTTGCTGCTAACTAGCTGGATGGCACTGAGCATGTCACTCCATCTCTTTGATCATTAGGTTTTTCATTTATAAAATGAAGGGGTCAGAATGGATGATCACAAACTCCTTCCCAGCTCCCACAATAATTCTCAAATAGGCAAGGATATCAGTACCATTGTAACTCTTTCTGGATTTCAAAGCCAGTAAATTCTAGAGTTTATTTCAGAGGAATATTTTGGCTTAACAAATTACCAAGTTTTCTATAACTGACCCTAGAAGAAACTGGGAAATAGACTGTATACCTTAATTCATTTAAATACATTTACTGAGTGCCTATTACGTGAGAGGCACTATTTAGCCACTGTTAAAGCACTGAGCAAAGCAAAGGAGCCCAGTATTCTCACAGAACTCACTTACTTGTGTTTAATTAATCCCCCCATGCACCATGCACCGAATAAGTCTTTTGACTGCTATAGACAGCAGAAACAGTGATCTAATAGGTTTGTTTTATGCATTGTGACTTGTGTGAGGCAATCACTGAATTAGCAAAAAATTAAAACTGCTTCAAAAAGTACCTGTGTTCATGGTCTTGCACGACTAGGCAAATAACTACGTAGATCTTCTTGTAGTTTAGAAAGAAGTAACTACTGGCTTCTGAATAGACTGAGATACATTCACACATGAATTCCAGCAAAATTTTAAGACACTAAACAAAAGAGTGGAAATGTTTCCTGCAGCATTAGAATTTAATTTTCTATTTTCCTATGACTGTTTAAAATGCGGTTTTAGATACAAAACAGAGAGCATTCCCCTACTCTTTCATGGAATGCATGATGGGTCTATAAAAAGGAAAATGATGTAGAATGATGTGCCTGCATCTCAAAAAAGGCAACTTTACAGGCTGAAAAAAAAATTAAAAAAGAGCAAACTCTTAGGGGTGGAAAGATGTACATACTAGATCTAGATCAGGAAAATATGACAGATCATCCCATTTAAGTATAGTACTGACAGATAATTTTACAGTTGGAGGAACCCTAACCCTTAGATTTATAAATGAGAAAGCTGAGATTCAAAGACATAAAGAGACCTGGCCAAGGCAAAGCCAAGATACTTGTTAGTAGCAAAACTGTAATAATCCAATTCTGCTGATTACTCGTCTAGGAATCCAGTTCAGCATTAACTGAGAATTTTTAGCAAATCGAGACTAGAGAGAGGGAGCCCTTTATGGTTGACAGCCACTCTTTTAGACTAAATGCATATGACACCCAGTGTTTGGAGTATATTTCTCCAACAGACTATTCCATCTGATAGTACTTATGAAGGTTTTTGATTAATTTATGGATGAAACATCTAGAACAGATATAGTCTACTTAGAAATAGGTCATATTCAAAATCTCATGTGTATGTAGCCTGTTCAGAACTTGGGACCCCTTTCCCCTGCCAAAGAAAAGTAACAAATTATGAGTTTATTTAACCAGGCATGATTAAAACAATATAAATGATATTCCAAGAAGCACTCTCAGTGGGCCCAAAGCTCCTTGGGTCCTGGACCCCTCTGGATACCTCCATACTAGAGGCTGCAGAGACTCAAATACTGCAAGCCAGGGGAAGGCTCCTAAACTAGGATTCTTAAGCCAGAAACTGTTTATATTAGAATAATTAAGAATATCTAAAAACACACAACATTTTGAGGTCATGGTCACAGCTGATAACCATGTCTTACTGCCCCCCTCCCATTCCCTACTCCCCAAATCTCTCGAACACAGCGGTGGAGAAATCAATGCAGCCAGAATGGTCTCTACCCGAAATTTTGACTTTTCTGAAATCAGAATTTAATACTTTCAGAGAGGAAGATCAGTTTAAAGAAAACCCATCAAAGGTCTCCTCTCCTACTTTATACTCAAGAGGTGATGCTAATCTTTCTCAGATTTCTCCCCATCTGCAGGTTCCTAGCTTGGGAATAATAGTCTATGCAGTGCACTGCTGATGCTTAGACACTCTTGGAAAACTTTTAAAAACATTCATCTTAATGGCAATTTTGTAAATTTAGTGTTGGCTCTTATAAATCTAAACTGGCAGGGTACTCAAGCGAGCAGAATTTGCTAATTTGGGGCTAGCTTCATTTTCCTCGGACCTCCAGGCGACTTCAGGTGAATTCAAGTTCCTTCCAGACTAAGTCTCCTAAGTGAATTAAACCCCGTTCTCAAATCTTGGCCTCAGGGCAGATGCTGGTGGTCAAGAAAGCTCCCAAGGTTAGGGAATTTCTCTAACCCGAAGAGGTCTCTCGGGGGAGAGCGGCAGGTTTGGGTGACCCAAAGGAGACTTGGCTCGGGGAGGCCCGATGCGCGGGCCCACTCGCTGGTTCTCGGGGACCCCGGAGCGCCAAGCCACCCTCCCGGGCCCACCTAGCTCACCGAGGTTGCCGCCAACGATGGTGACGGCGATCTGGTCCATGAGCACCGCCCGGAAGCGCACGTCCTGCTCGGAGCAGCGCTGCCGGAGGGCGCGCAGGATCTGCACCTGCGGGTAGTCCTCGCGGATGCGCCGGTCCGTCAGGAACCAGAGCTGGGAGCACATGGCGGCCAGGGCGGCGGCGCCCGGTGGGGCGCGGGCCCCCTCGGCGCCCCGGGCCGCTCGCTCGGGCTGGCGGGCGGGCGGCCGGCGTCCCGGCGAGCGCGCGCCGCGGCTCCGCTCCCGCCGGTGCGCCAGGCGCCTCTGCAGCCCTGACCCAGCGAATCTGCCCGGCCACTCAGCGCCGCCGCCGGCCCCGGCCAGCCAATCAGCGCGCGGCGGCGGGCGCGGGCCGGCCACGGGGCCAGCTGCAGAGGCGGCCGCGGCGGGCGGCGCCCGGGAGGGGCGGCGGGGCCGGGGCCTGCGGCGGCCGGGGGAGGGGACCCGAGCGGGGCTGGTGGCCGGGGGGAGCCCTGAGCGAGACAGGCGGCGAGGCGAGGCTGAGCGAGGGCATCCCTGCCCCGCGCTGGACCCCGGTGGGCGTGGCGCTGCCGGCCTGGGTGGGGCGACCCGAGCGGGAGGGGTCGGGGCTGCTATCCAGGGAAGCGGAGAGGGTGTCCGGCTGACGGACTAATGGTCCGCAGCGGGCAGCGGGATGCTTCCCAAAGGCCATCCCGAACACCTAGGGGCTGGTTGCATCAGCGGCCCCTACGGAACCCGAGAAGGGCCCCGAGGACTTCCTAAGGGAGACTCCAGGGCCTGGCGAAGGTCATCCAGCTAGGCCCGCGGTTAGCCCCTTGGCCTTGGACTCCTCTGCCCAAATCGTGGCCTGGAGCTGGGGAGGGGGGAGAGAAGGAGGGAGTTGGGTTGTTTGCGTTGAGGGTCCAGATAATTTGAAGGTGCATTTCTCAGGGTCTCCGGTTTTTCCCTCGGACACCCGCTCCCAGGTTGCAGCAGTTCTGGGTCTGTAGAACCTCAATGTGAAGAAAACAGATGAGTCCTTTTCGTCAGAAGGATCACTAGTTGGTCTTCCCCCATCCCTCTAGACCATACAACTGAGTCATCATTAAACACTGTCCTTGGCCCTAGCCAATTGCAAATTCTGCCAGCAAACAACAGTGTTTGCAGCCAGACTTTACTTTCTAAATAACTGCAGGACTGAAGTTAGCCATCTTTGGAGACTGCATTTGCTCTTCCGACTCATTAAAATATTTATCCTTTTTTTTTTTTTTTTTGGCTTAGGGAGGCAAGAGGAATTTCAAAGCAGACCAAGCAATAACAATTTAGAAATGGGTTAAGATACCTCAGGTAAGGTATAGGCTTCACTATATATATGTATTTTGCAGGTGTGTGCATTTATTACCCACTTGATGTCTGATGTGCCTTATGCGGTTGGAAAAGTTCTAAGTAGAATTTCAAAAATTAATTCTTTTTCAAGAATTAATAAAGTAGCAGGAACCTAGTGCCCCATGACTTAGTAACTTTCAAAACTATCTTCTAACCACAGATCGACTTGGGGACTAGAGGCTCTATCTTCTACCTTGACCATTTCCTTAATGTCCCATGGTGTATATTTTGTAGACCTTAATGCTTTCTACTTGGCTTCTGCAGTATCATACATAGGATGGCTATAAGATGATCAGAACCACAGTTGTCTGGAACGATAATGTGTGTATGAGTCAGTAAATTTAGGAATTGCTTACAATCCATTTTCATAGTCATCTTCATAAGTCGAGAATGTTTAATTCATATGCAAGTCGCTACTAAGATCTCCAATTTTCTCCAAAACCCAGGTTTGAGGAGAACAGGATCTGGGGATCCAGATGTTATCATCGCTTCTTCATTGTCTTTGCTCACGCTCCCTAGATGGTTGCTATCACCACTGTGATCTCTCTTTTCTAGGATGGATGATAAGTGAGGCCCTTGATAGTGACACATCCAGTTAGGAGATAGCTAAGCTTATGTTCCCAGGTCGTGCAGTAGTAAAAAAAAAAAAAAAAAAAATCTGCCAATGTAGGAGATGCAAGAGATGCGAGTTCAATCCCTGGGTCGGGAAGATGCCCTGGAATAGGAAATGGCAACCCACTCCAGTATTCTTGCCTAGAAAATTCCATGGACAGGGTACGCTGGTGGTCTACAGTCCATGGGGCCACAAAGTGTCTGACATGACTGAGCAACTGAGCACACAGACAATATTTCTTCATAGATGACTCCCAAACTCAGTTTTAACCCTGATATCTCCTGAGCTTCAACAATAAAAAAAATGCTGTCCTGCCATCACCTCACTGTCCCTAGAGCTAAACTCATTCTGTCCCCCTTCATTCCTGATTCAGCCATCTTAAACAATAAGGAAAATGTATTGTCTCATGTAACAAAAGATCTAGAGGTAGGTAGTTCAAAGGTTTGTTCATTTAACAGCTCAGTGACCTTCTCAGGTACCCAAACTCTTTCCATCTTTCCACTCTGACTACCTAAGGCCAGTGTCCCTTATAGTTACAAAATGGCTGCCATAATTCCAGCTGGCAGATGCGTGCACATCACGTCCAATGGAAGTAGAGAGACTGTTTCTTCCCATGTGTCTCTTAGTTAGCAGGGAAAACCTGTCTCAGAAGCCTGTAAGCAGACTTCTCACGCTCCTCCCACATCTGAACCAGTCACCAGCAGGGAGTAATAAGCCATCATGAACTACTTAATCATGATTTCCCTCTGTGGCTTGAGAATTGAAATCCCACCATCCTCAACAAGCATATTTAGAGTTAGGTGAATCCCTAGGCAAAAATTGGGGTTCTCTTACAGGATGGGAAATAGATGTTGGAAGGACAAACAGTGGTGTTTGATACAGATGGGTAATAAGGAAAATGTATCAGGAAAAGCCAGGTCAGGCTGTGGTAACAAGTGATTCCAAAGTGGCTTACAACAGTGAAGTTTTATTTCTTGAAATGCCAAACATGCCCATAACAGATCAGTTTGGCATATTTGAGGTTGTCTTCATGCCAGGACTCAGATTGATAGAGTAAGCTTTTAAAAAAAAATTCATATTTATTTAGTTAGTTTTTTGGCTCTGCTGGGTGTTCATTGCTGTACGTCTTTTCTCTAGTTGCTGAGAGTGAGGACTACTCTTTAATTGTGGTGCGTGGACTTATTGCGGTGGCTTCACTTGTTGCAGAACACAGGCTGGAGAGCACGTGGGCTTCAGTGGTTGCAGCCCATGAGTTCAGTTGTTGTGGTTCCCAGGCTCAATAGTTGTAGCACACAGTCTTAGTTGCCCCACCGCATGTGGGATCTGCCCAGATCAGGGATCAAACCCATGTCTTCTGCATTGGCAGGCAGATTCTTTACTACTCAGCCACCAGGGAAGCCCTAGAGTAAGCTTTATCTGGAACAATGTTGGTCTCATGAAAAGGGGAAAATGATGATAGTGAATCACGTGCTGATTCTTGATACTTCTGCCTGGCACTTTTACATGTTAGAGCTCACGTTTTGTTGGTCAGAACAAGTTCACCTGGTCAAACCTGATATCAGTAGGGACCAAGTCTAAGGTTAGGAAAGTATGATCCTTTCCTGGAAAAAGCAGCAAAAATTTGTAAAAAAGAAACACAAAACTGTGACCAACAATGTGGATTGCCACACTCAAGGATGAGAAATAGCCAAATCCTACTCTGCTGATCATCTCTCCTCTCTTTAGAGTTCCCGAGGGAACTATACAGAAGAAAGAAATTGGAATAGGAACCAAAGGATCATTTTATTCATAGCTGAGCTAGCACCCAATAAGCTCCAGAGAAGAACTCTGCCAAAAGACTGAATCACATGGCTTAGGTTTAAGGCTGAAGTGAAGCTTCGTAATTCCCTGCTCCACCTCCACCCTCTAGATTTGGGGACTGTCATGCATAAGCATGCCTGCAGAAAAAGAGAAGATGATCAGGTATGCTAGCAGACCGGCTTTATTCATCCAGGTGTGCATCAAATAGAAAGTGAACTGGTCCTACTTGGAGCAAGAGCAGCACTCCTGACCATGTGACCCCTCAAAATAAAGTGATCCCAACCACTGTTGAAGTGTGGACTCGTTAGTGTCCTGGGCTCTGATCAATCAGGTTAATAACTGCTTCCATCTGAAGGTAGCTAGTCACAGGGTAGGGCAGAGGAAAAGGGAATTCCTTCTTGTTCTCACATTCTCATTTTTGTTCTCTCTTAACCATTAGGAAGAGGGGTAAACAAATGAGTATTTGTTGTCTATTTGCCTCCTCATCTAGACTGTAAGCCTCTCAGGAACAAAGGTCAATGCATTGAGCATCATGTTTCCACATGTGGTAGGTACTCAAGTTTATGCTGATGAAGTTATGAATGTCATGTAAGAGACATCACTGCAATTTCAGTTGTCAAAATTGTGGTCAGTTACAGATGTACTAGGTTTTTGTGACCTGGGATTCTGGAGCCCTATTTCTTGTCTTACTTCCAACTTTCACTATATACTGGCACAACAGGGTACTGAAATGTGGGTCTGCACAGTGGAAAGAAAGTGAAAGTCTTCATAAATATTACATGTGACCCCAAACAGATTGATATACCAAGTTAGAAGATTTAATTGACCTCAATAAATTAGAGAAATTATCATTAATAGCAGGTTGAAAAGATAAATGGAAAGTAGGACATTGAAGGAGCAAAAGAAGCATCACACACTCATAGGTTCAAGAGAGAAAAAACTGGCCACCAAAAAAATGTGTCCAAGAAGACCTGATAGATGTGGCAGAGCAGTAACAGAGCAAATAGAAAATTGGCAGTAGCTTCCTTGGTGGCTCAGACAGTAAAGAATCTGCCTGCAATTCTTTACTGGGAGACCTGGATTGATCCCTGGGTTGGGAAGGTCCCCTGGAGAAGGGAATGGCTACCCACTCCAGTATTCTTACCTGGAGAATTCCATGGATAGAGGTGCCTGGCAGGCTACAGTCTATGGGGTTGCAAAGAGTCAGACACAACTAAGTGACTCAGACTTTCTTTCTTTCATGTTAACAGAAGTTGGTGAAACCAAATTCATCTTCTTATCCCTGGGACCTAGCATGGTACCTGACATAGAATGGACATTGATAAGTAGTTACTGGGAAAAAATGTAGGGTTTTGGTCAGATTGTT